AATATCAAAACTAAATTTAAAGTTGTAGTTTTTTAAACATAATGATTTATATTTAAATAAATTTTAGATTTATATGAACCTAAAAAATAAATAAAAAGATATTTAATAGTAAAAATATCTATTTATGTTTTATTTATTTTGAATATTTTTTGTTTTAAATGAAAATAAAATATATTTGTATTAATTATATTAATTAAACTATTATTATTTATTAAAAATAATATTATTTTTTTGAATATACATGAATATGAAAAGTAATTATAAATTTAATTCCAATATAATAAATTATAAAAAATATCTAAATTATTAAATTTAGATTAAAGTTTAATATTTTAAAAAATGAAATAAATATTTTTTATATAAATTATTATATAATATATTTTTTTCATGATTCAAAAATTTTATATTTTTTAAATATAGTTATCAAAATCAAATTTATCGCAACAGTTATGAATGAAATCTGTCATTACACTACTAGTTCTTTATCTTTAATTACCAAAGGTAAAGCTATTAGATTTATTTACAATCTTATTTTTAGATTAAGAAATTATTAGATCTTCGATTGTATCATTTTCAGATAATTCAGGAAATAAATTATCATCTTCTCTTCTTTTTATATTAAGATTATTATTTTCATTTTAATGATTTTAAAATGAATCATCTACGTCATAAATATAATTTTAATAGTTATTATAATTTACAAAATTAGCATTTCTTATATAATCTTGATTACTATGCCAATTATTTTAATTATAATAAGCATCACAAAAGGAATCAGTGGTAAATTTTTTGTATTTATTTTAATATAAATTATCTTCAATAAACCTAAAAAATTAATATAAAATGATAAAATTAAACTTTATTATACTTATTATCATAATTTATATCTAAAACATTTGTTTCATCGTAAAAAGGCTTCTGCTTTTTAAATTCCTATTAAAACTTAAATACTTTGGTAGATATATTATTATGATTATTATTATTAAAATGAGAATTATTAATACTTTTTTAATAAATTTATGTACATAAAGGATTATTTTCTTTCGATTATATTTCATTATCAAAAGCATGTGACCCATCTCTAGATTTTTTTGAGACATTAAAACAATTTTATTATTATTGATGTTATTATTATTATTTTTATTATTAATTATTATTATTATTATTATTATTATTATTATTATTATTATTATTATTATTATTAATGCTGTTATTAGTTTTAAATTTATTAATTATTATTGCTTGTTTCATAATCCCCTGACGACTATTATGATTTTTTTGTTTTTTTTAAAATTACTTAAACTGCTGATTTTAATGTTTAGTTTTACTTAATATTAGTTAATTACCTTACTATTTATTCTTAATTTTTTTATGCTTCAATTATTTTTTGCATCACATTCTACGAATTTATAGTTAAATTTATTTAAGGAACTAATTAACTGAATTATTATTATACTTTTTCAATATTTCCATCAGCTTATATAGTGGCATTTTATACCTCTATCGGTAAAAATTACCAATTTAATATTTTTTCTTATATTTTTTCTACAGGCTTTTAAAATTGTTATTAAAGTTATTATTACTACTATTAGCTCTATTAAATTTACGTTTATTAAAACTATAATTATTATTATAATTACAGTTATTATTATTATAGATGTTATTATTTATTATTTTATTAAGCTTACTCATTAATCTATATTTCTTCAACAATTTAAAGCTTTTATATTTCTTTTTTCTCTTATTAGACTACAGCCTTTTCTTAGTTCTCTTTATTTGTTGCGTTTGCTTAAAATTAAGTTAACTAATTAGTTACTGTTGAAGAATTTCTACTTCTCAAAGCCATTTTATTGTTAGATGCAAGTACTTTTTGTTAAGCAGTTTAAGTTTTTTCAGTTTGATTAGGAGAAGCTTTTTAGTTTTATTTTACTTTTTATATTTTTTTTCCGTTAACTTTAATTTACTAGACTTTTTATTGGTACATTTTTTTTTGTTATTTTTATTCAATTTATTATTAAATTGTTTGTTTTTAATTTTTAATGATTATTATATATAAAATAAGAAAGAAAAAATTTTATAAAATTTTTAACGAAATTCGGGATGTTTTTTTTTTTTTAATTTCTAGCTTTTTTAAGTAAAAACTCATAAATTAAAAAAAAAATAAACATATCTAAAATTTGTTTTCTTTTATGTTTTTATTAATATAAATAAAAAAGTTACAGTTAAATATTTTAAACAAAAAAATATTATTTAAAAATTACATAAAATTATTAATAATGCCAAAACAATACAATTATAATATATATGTTGTTATTCAAAATTTTTAAAAAAATATTAATATATTTATAGCTTAAAAATATCATATATTATTTGTTAATATTTTGTTTTTTGTTTGATTTTTTTTTTTAATAATTTAATCAACTAGCGGGATAAAATTTATAATTGCATATTTTTTGTTGATTTTATATTTAAATGAACTATAAAAAAAATAAAAAAACAATATAACAATATAACAAGTAATATATTCTCATAATTATTATTTTTTATATTTTAATTAATTTAAAAATTATTATCGTTTATATTTATATTTTGCAGTGAATCTTTTATATATGATAAAAAAATAACTTAATTTTTTTTTTTTTTTTAAATATTATTATTTTTAATGTTTGTATGAATTAATATTTATTGAAATAGTTAATTTATGATAAAGAATTTTGTTAAAATTAGTTATAAATATCAATAAAAAAAATTGAAATAATGTTTAAAAAATGGTTAAAATATTTATATTCACAAAATAAAAAATTATAAATAGATATATTGTATTAAATAATTATAATTAAATATCATTTTATCATACAGATTTTTTTTTTTCTATAATTTCTTTTTTAAAAAATATCAATAAATAAAAAAAAAATAGATTAAGGCTTTTTTTTTGTCGATTAAGTCTTTAGAAAAAATTAAAGAAGAAAAATAATATAAGCAAGTAATATACATACATATAAAGTTAAAAGTTAAAAAAAATTAAATGATAAATCAATTAAAAATGCTATATCAATAATATTTTTAAGTTTAGAATCTAATTTAATAAAGCATATAATATTTTCAATATTAAATTCATTAATTATATTATATATAAAAAAATACTTAAATACTTTAATTTATTCTTCTTATAGTTTTATTTATTTTTTTATTATAAATTATTTTACAAATGTCAACTTATAGAAATAATTTTTTCAAAAAAAAAATTTGTTATAAAAATACTTATATATTCTATATATGATATAGCTTCTCTTTAAGAAGAAATTTTTTTTAAATATATTATATATTATTTGGATTTTTTTTAATTTTAAAAAGAATTTTTATTTAATTTGTTGTTTTATGTTTTTTTATTTTTTCTCTATAATTTTTTTTAAAAATTTTAATCACAAAAATTAAAGACCATTATCAATTTTTTTATTGATTGAGTTTTTTTTTTTTTAAATAAAAAAAATTATTCATTTAAAGTAAAGAAAAATTAAATTATCCATTTAAATAAACATTCTAATTTAAGATAGTATGAAAAATAATTAATTTTATATTATATATCTCTTATTAAAGATATATATATATATTACAATAATTATTTTTAAGGAGACATTACAGTATATACAATAAAAGAATATTTAAAAATTTATAAATAATAATTTTTATAGATATTAAAATGTGTTTAAAAATTAAAGGTAATTTAATAAATTATAATTTTATTAATTATTTTATTTAAATATAATTAAGATTAGTTATTTTTATAAATCTGTATTTATATTTTTAATAATCATTCATTTTCATTTTCATCTTATTCTTATAATTATTTATTATTATTTTGTTTTGTTCTTAGATGATTTTTTCTTTTTCTTATTTTATTTTTTTTATTAATTTAACCCTTATTTTTACTAATTTTTTTCTTTTTTTTCATACATGATAAAGGGTTCGGATTTTATGCTTTCTTTTTATTTCTTATAACCAAATCATTTTTAATTCTTTGAATTTCTTTTATTTTTTTTAATCTCTCTTATTATTTTTCTTCTTATTTAATTTAGTTAATAATTTTTAGCTCAAATTCATTTGGCAAAAACTTGTTAGTCTTTTTTTTTTCTACATATTTTAACGCTTTTTAATTGGGTTCTTCAATACTAAATTTTAAGTCTTTGCTAATAAAAAATATAGGGACTGGATAACTTTGCATTAATTTTTATTTTAAACCTTCATCTTAAGTCAAAACCCAATATTTTTCGTCGTTTTTATCACCAATGAGTTCTTGTATACATTCAGAAGCTGATAATCCATCAACATGATTGCACTTTAATTTAGGTAAATTACGAGCAAATTCAAATAATTATTTTAATTAAGGAATTTATCTTAGCTCATTTAAAACACATTATGTAATTTATATCCAAACTGTTCCATGTAGTAACTTGGTAAGTTTTTCCTAAAATTCAAATTTTCTATCCATTGAAGCTTTTAAAAATGTCCCATCAACTAATAATTTATGTGGAAAGTGAAAATGAAAGTTTATTCTATAAAAATTAATCCATTTTCTTAGAAATTTAACTTTTTTTACTTTCATTATTGTATTTTTAGAAATAAAATATTATTAATTAAATTTTTAGTTGTGAAAAAAAAAAAATTATTTTATATTTCTTATTTATAATAATTTTTTTTTAAATGTGTATTATGTATAAATTATACTTTTTTTTGTTTTAAATAGAATATTTGTAAATATAAAATTTAACTATTTTTAAAGTTTTGTTTTTACAAATAAATACATAAAAATTATTTTAAATAAATAACTTCAATGCAATTATAATATATGTATCTTTTTTAAAAATTATAATTCATTATCATGAGAAATTAAATAAATATATATTCCATATAATTTAAAACTTTAAAATAATATTTTATATATATTTTTTTTTTCAATATGGATAAAATTAAATGTAAAAAATGTGTTTTTTTATTTATTTTCAAAAATCTAATTCCTCTTCCTAATTTTTTTATTCATTTTCTATTTCATCAAGGTTTTCTGCATCTTCTTCAATCCCGCTTTATTTTTATCTGAGTTTATGTTACAAAACTGTTTGGCTAATAATTCCAATTCTGACATCCATTTGGCCAATTTCTTATCTAATTTTTTTAATTGCTTCTTTAATCTTAATTACTGGAGATGAATTAGTTTGTTCATCACCTTTACTTTCTAATTAAATTTTAATAGCATCATATTTTTCTTTTAATTATTTATATTATTCTCCTTATTCTTTTATTGAATTTTATAAATTATTATACTAAGTAACAATCGTTTTATAATTTTCAGATTTTGTTCTATATTCTCCTCCCAAGTCAGTCATATTTTAATTTATATTTTTTTCTCGTTTAGAAATTTACTCTAATACTTTACTCAAATGATCTATCAACCTTTCCAATTTAGGTCTTGCTTCAGGAAGTATTTTTTTAATTGAGCTTGAAAATTCTTTAGTTTATTCAATATGTGATCTCCATTCTTTTGCATCATTTTTTATCTAATATCTTAATTTAGCAGTTACTCTTTCTACTTCAAGTATCCAATCCTTTTCATTTATTTTAGACTATATTACTTGCTTATCTTCATCTATTCTAGATATTTTTATTTTACTTTAAATTAAATTTTTATATATATATTAACTCTTATTTGGCTTGTTTTATATCTCCCATAACATCGAAATCTTCTTCACTTTCTACACTTATGTTTTCTGCCATATCTGCTTCATCATCTGCTCCATCATCTATTATAGCTTCTTCTTAAGCTGTTTATGATGGTTAATCAATTTTATGTTTTTTAAAAGAAAATCCTTTTGTTTTCAATGCTCTGTTTGTTAAATCGAGAATTACTTTACAAGCTGTTTCTCCTGAACCCTTTGTTTTTTATTTTGTTTTTTAAATAGATTTATATTAAAATTTACAGATTTTAATTTTATAGGAGGAAAATCACTATCTAATCCTAGTTTTTTAGTTCAAATTCTTTTTAAATTTTAAATTATTTGAAAATTAAATATTTAATTTACATATATTGGAAGCTATTGACATAGGATCTCCAAATTAATTGAATTCTACATCAACATTATTTTATTTAAAAAGCCACGTCACTATTTTATTAAAATAGTTAAATTATTCGTTTGAATTAAGAGGGACAGCAAAATAAGCTCTGTTTAAAGGTTTTAATCCACTTTTTTTTTAAAAAAAATATTTAAAAATTTATTTGAATAATATTAATACTTTTATTAAATAAAAGATTTCTCATAATTTAATAGCTTTAATTTTTCAAGTATTTCTTCCATATAAACTGTAGCATCTTCAGCAGTAGCCTATTCAGACTAAAATTTTATATTTAAAAATAAAATACAGTTTAAATATAAATACTTAAAATTAAGAATCAGACATTTATAAAAATAAAGTAAATTAAATAGAAAAAAATTTAAAAATATTTTAAATAAAAAAAAATCAAATATTGAAAAAAAACATATAAATCGAAAAGGTTATATATTTTTAATATATAAAAATAATTTGAAGTTATCTTAAAATAATAAATACATTTCGTTTTTATAATATAAATTTTAATCATAATATATTATCATTGATTTTTTTTATTATTTAATATTTTTTATAATTATAATGATTTAAATAATGGAAATCTTATTAATATAATTAATATGATAATTCATCTTATAAATATAATAGTATTTATTAAATTTCTTTATCATATTAGTATTTTTTTATATCCATAAAAATATATAAAATTATTGCTAATCTTAAAAATATGTATTATAATTAACAAAATTAAGTTAATAACTAGTTTCTTTTAACGAAATAATTTTATTAAATGTTATGATTAAACTCGCAATTTTTAATTTATAATAAAATACCAAAAAATTATGAATATATATATCCTCTATTTTCTTATTAAAAAAATATCAATAGCATAATTCTAACTAATCTAATAATTAAGAAATATGAAAAAATTATTAGAATGATATATACCCTAATTCTATTAATAGTACATATACTCATTTTAATAAAAACTCCAATATATCGATTCTCTTTAATATAGAAAATTCAACAAAGATAAGTAAAAATTTATAACAATTTTAAAAATAAAATAAAAAATTGTAGAATATTATAAAATATATCCAAGTTTATAAATATTTGATATATGATAAATTTTAAATAAAAACTCAATGTCTTTTAAAATAGTTTTAAAATAGTATATAAATATATTTTAAAAAATATAATTGTAATTTAAATTTTATTATAGTAATCATTTAGAATATATTTAAGATATTGCATATCCTATTGCAATAATATTTTAACATATAAGATATTCCTATTAAAGTTTTAAATGCTTATTTAATTTAATTTGCAATTTTAAGCTTTTAATAAACTTATATAATATACATATATTTAAATGTAAATAAATATAAATCCCTGAACAAACATTTGAACACATTTAAATAAATAAATACTAATTGACTATATATTTTAAGTTTTATTCAAAAATAATTATTTGAATTAGATTATTATTAATCAACGTGCTGTGCTTTTGATAAAAAATCTTTCATATATTGTTTAAAATAATATATAATATAATTAAAAATTAGATAAAATTTATAAAAAAAGTTATTAAAATTTTCAATAAGAAAGAATAAGATAATAAAAAATAATATAGATTCTTCTTTATATAAATAAAAAAAAGGCAAACCAAAATCGATAATAATAAGACTAAATATCAATATAAATTAATTATAAAAAAAGATTAAAATAATATATTTTCAATTTTTTATGTATTTATATAAATTTTCGAAATTATTATTTTTAGTTATTTTTTATTTTATATAAAACATTTTTTTTATTTATTTATAATAAAAAAATAGTAAAAATATGAATTAAAACTATATCTATAATTATTTTTAGATCGTTAAAAATTAAAATTTGTATTTTGATTCCTTTTAGATGCTTTTTTTTAAAGATATTGATAAATAATTGAATTAAGAAGAAAAATAAATTAGATACAAAATGGATTTATTTTTAATTTCAGTATGTTCATTTGGAAATTTAGGTGCAATGGCAATTCTTTATAATTAATTAAGTTTTTTAAATAGTAGTGTTTTTAATCCTATTAGAGATATAAAAATAAGTCTATTATGCTTTGGATTCACATTAATTATTAGAGGGACTGCAACATTTTATGTTTGGTAAAATGTTTAAGGCATTTATTATCGTGTAAATAAAAGCAAATTATAAAATTAAATAAAAATTGATTTTTTTAAAAATAATATAAATAATCTATTTAAAATATATTTATATAGATATTTTTTATGAATATTTTATATTTAAAAAATAACATCTTAATTTATTTATATATATTTTCATTTTAAAATAAAAGATATAAATTATTTTTATTTTGTAAGATATTCCAATAATTATAAAATAATAAATTAAAAAAAAATCTAATTTAATATATATATATAATAAATTTTAATTTTATTGAAATTTAATTTTATTATAATTAAATAGTAATATTTATTATGCTTTTTATTAAATATAATATATTAATTTTTAATTTCTATTGTTTTTATAAATATTTAGAATAATTTTATTTTATTATCATGCGTTTATTAATTATTTAAATTTGATTTGTTTTTACCTTAATTTAATATTTTTATAATAAATAATTGTTTATGTTTTTCCTGTTTTTTCTAAGTTTTGAAATTATTCTATTCTAATATATCTCCCTTAAAATAGATAACGTATTTTTTAATCTATAATAATTTTTATATAATCATAAATTAAATTTATAAATTTTTAATATAATTAAATATTTATTTATTTTTATAAAAAAAGAAAATATTCAACATTTCAAAAAAAAAAAAATTAAAAATAACATATATAAATAAACTAATATTGATATGAAATTTTTTAAATTAGTTTTAACATTCATAACTTTTATGGCTATTAATTGTTAAAAATATGAAGATTAGCCAAATAATATAAGAATAATATATGATTATACACCTATTATGTAAGATAATTTACTAGACTAATAATACAAAGACTTAATATAAGTATCATGTGAATTAGCTAAAATGTTTATATAAAATTTATTGAAAGTAAAAAGGCGAATAGCTCCATTATCATCTGTTGAAACAGAATGCATTGATATTCCAATGAGTAGTATGATTTCTTCTCCAAATACAGTTTAAAATGCTGATTTATTTTTAATTGTATCAACAGAAAATGATCGATAATAAACAAGAATTGCAAATGCAGGAGCTTGCGATTTCGACGACCGCCCAATTATAGGAAGAATATAATTTAATTAAGCTTCATTGGATCTAAATGATTTAGATAATATGTTTACTTTATATTATAAAGTAGCTATTCATGAAATTATACATGTTCTAGGATTTTCAGATTATTTGTACCCGCTTTGGATTAATCCGATTACAAAACAAAGTTATGGTTTTAATTATAGAAGGGATGTTATTTAATATTAAGATATTTTTGGAAAAGAAAGAGTTCTAATTATTTCTAATAATGTAAAAAAAGTATTTTAAAGACATTTTGGATGCACAGAAATTAAAGGAATAGCCCAAGAAGAAAGTTCAAATTCACATTTTGAGAGAATTTATATATCTACTGATTTAATGAATGCCTCCGTAGATAGTAAAATGGGAGGATTAACTTAATTTACAATTGCTTTATTAAAAGATACTGGATTTTATGAAGATGTTAATGAAAATATGGCTACTTATTCCTTTTGGGGTTATAATAAGGGATGTACTTTTATCAAAGAGGCTTGCAAAAGTTAATATCAATATAGAGAATTTAGTTAAGATCTTTCTAAATATTATTATAATTGTGATGTTAATGGAGATGGTAAAGGATCTATTTTCAATTCTACTTTTACTGATGGATGCTCTTTTATAAAACCTATTTATACTCAGTTTTGTACTATGTTCGATAAATATTAACCTAATTAAATTTCTGGAGAAATTTATAGTTATAATTCGAAATGTGTCAATTCTAATTATGGATTTGATACTATTTGGAATCCTTATATTTCTGTTTATGGCGATATTAGATGTTTTTAAACTAATTGTAAAGATGATGAAACTTTGGAAATTATTACTTCTAATAAGGAAGTTTATGTTTGTAAATATCCGTTGTAGATAATTACTTTGACTGGAGACTTAAAAGGAACTATTTAATGTCCTGAAAATTTTAAATATTATTGTTCTTATAGAAGTTATTGTAAATAAGATTGCTCAAGGAAAGGATACTGCTTGAATGTAATATTTTTTTATTTTATTTTATTTTTAAAAAATTAAAAAAAAAAAAAAAAAAGAATGTATGTAATTGTTTACCAGGATTTGGAGGAAGTTATTGCTAAATATAATTAAGTGAAGGATAAGTTTTATATAACCATTAAATTTAAATTACTTGTCCTAAAGGCACATTCAAGAATCCAAACAATGAATGTTTATCCACTTGCCCTAGAGGTTATTTTGGAGATTAATAAACTTAGGAATGTAAAAATTGCAGTTCTAAATGTTCTTAGTGTACAGGACCTGAATAAAATGCATGTACTAATTGCAATATGGATTATATTCTGATTAATAATTAATGTATTGAAAGCTCTCCTTTATGTTTAAACAATTGTCGGATTTGTTCAGATACAATTTGTTATTCATGCAAATTAGGTTATTATTTAAATAAAAATAATTAATGTGTTAAATGTAGCAATAATTGTTATAAATGTGCAGATAAAATAGGTTTTTGTATTTAATGTGAACCTTAGTATCAATTGTATAATTAAAATTGTTATTCAATAAATGAATTTTCACCTAATTGTATTTCTTATGATCTTTAAGATAAAAGTAAATGCCTGAAATGTTTTGATCAATATTATTTGGGAGAAGATGCTTTATGTAAATAATGCAAAGATGGGTATTATTTTGATATAATAAATTAAAAATGTATTCAATGTGATTCTTAATGTAAAACATGTATTAATTAAGCTAGTTCTTGTACTTCTTGTGAAACTGATGATTATTTTTTTAGTATTGAAAAAAAATAATGCATTAGTATTAGTTCAAATCAAGTTATTTTGGAAAATTCAAAATGTCATTTTAGTTGTAATTAATGTTTTGGCGAGAAATATTATTAATGCATTACTTGTAAAGGAAATAGAGAAGCTTATTAGTATTTTTTAGGCATGAGATCTTGCGAATGTAATTATATGGGAAAAAGTAGTGATATAGGAACCGAAATGTGCATTTATAATGAAAGTGGACATTAGATGTTGTATTTATGTTATATTTGCGTTTTCTTAATGGTTATATAATAGCTTTATTTTGTTTTTTTGAAAAAATAATCGCCTGCTTATCTTATTATTGTGGTTGAATTTGCATAGAAAATAAGCTATTTTTAATTTATTAATTAATATACTATTTTACATTTGGATTAGTTTTTTAATATTTTTTAGTATTCTAATTTAATTAATTATGCTAATTATTTAGTTCCTTTAGATAATAAAACTATATTTTAAAATTAGAAAGCTTTTTTAAATGGAAAAACTCCCTATTTTATTTTGAATATTATTGTTTTATTATTGCTTTTGGTCATTTTTTACTTAACCATGCTATATTTAGTTAAGATTCTTAAAAAAATCAAAGAAGTTGATTATAAATATTATATTGTACTAATTAATTTTTTTATTATACAAGAAGTTACATTCAATGCAATACTATAATTACAAACTGCTGATTATGATGTTTTTGCTGCTTTAAATTGTGTATTTGCATTTTCTATGGTAGGCTTTATTATCTTTTAAAGTTTTAAAATTATGAAAGAAAATGTAGGACCTTTTGGAATAAGTAAAGTTGCTAGTTAACCAGAAATACCTGTTCAATTGGAAAATTAATAAAAATTGGAACTGCAGGTTGTTAATAATATAGGTAATAATGAATAAACTTAGCTTGGTATTAAAGATTATAATAGTAATTAAATATAATCTCATGCTATTAATAGTTAATAAATTGTAAATAAAATTTAAGCTAAAGAAGAGTTGAAATCAATAAAAATTAATAAATTTGAAATTTATTCATTATTATTTATTTATAAAATTGCAATTTCTATGATTTTTGGGTTTATTCATTTTTAAGTTTTGGTTTAATTAATAATTTTTATTGTTTTTTAGATTTTAACGTGCGTTTTTGTAGGTTTGAAAATCTAGTTTATTGAAAGAAATCACAAATTATATTTTATTGAAAAATAAATTTAATCAATTGTAATTGCAGGAGCTTATATGTGTAATATTCTTTTAGAAGGAAAAAATTATATTTTTTAAATTGTGATTACTGCATTTATTTTAGGTGTGCTTTTCTTTGATGTATTTTGGAAGTTTATTTGTGATTTTATAAATATTACTATTGACATTGTTAGATGCATAAAAAATAAAGAAACTAATATGTCAGTTAAATAACGGGTGTAATAAAATTTTCTTAATATTGATGCATAAAGTAGACAATAAATAGAAAATAATAAAACTTATGGACACAGTGATAAAAATCATAATAACTCAATTTAAACTGGTATTAATTCGCCAGGGCTAAATGCTAATAACATTCAACAATATAATGATGAATTATTGAGCAAAAAAAAACTTTATTCAAATCATAGTTCCAAAAATATTTAAAAGAAAATTAAAAAAATGAAAAATAAAAAGAAGATGATGATGTAGAAAATATATAAATTTAATGAAAAATATTGCATAATAGAAACATATATATATAATAAAAATTATATTAAAAAATTATTTTATAAATAAAACTTTATGTATATATATTTAGAGCTAAAAATTTTTTATATTACGAATATTAATTTATTTTTTATAAAATTAATATGAAAAAAATAAAAATAATTTATTTAATATTTTTTTATTTTATTATATTTATCAAATTGTGAAATTTTATTTGTAATAAATTTTTTCTATATAAACATTTAATATTTATTAATATGATTTTCAGCTATTTTAAAATATTTTTAATAATAATACTAAAATATTGTTTATTATTAATAATATTTAAAAATTTTTTGTTTTTTAATAATAATAAATAGTATAGAATTTAAATTTGAGAGATTTTTAATAAATATAAAGATTAAACTTCTATATGTATTATTTTAAATTTATATAAAATTAAAAAGATAATAATTTAAAGTTATATATTTTTTTAAATAAATATGTTTTTTTTATTAGATTAAATAAAATTAGAAATTTTATCAAATGTTAATAATAATAAAGTTTGATAATATAAAATTTATAATATATAAATAATTTTTCATATATATTTAAAAAAATTTATTAAAAATAAATATATTAATGATAT